ATTAGACTTTCTTTCTTGAGATAAAAATCTAAGACACTTGCTTCTTGGATCTAATAAAGATGCAATTAATGCATCTTGGATTGGTTTTTCATAATAATAAATTAAAGCAAAATATAGACGCTCTTTTATCAAATCAGCCAGACCTTCTGTTTGTGTTGGATTACTAAAGGAAATTTTTTTTTCTTTTGAGGAGCTCAGGTGTATCGTCATTAAAAATCTCATAATATAATTGATGATCTTCTATTTCTTCAAAAAAAACTTCACTTGCTTTATGAAATACATCTGATTCCTCTTCCACATTAAAATCATCATCATTATTTTGATCTGAAGTCAATTGATTAATTAAAGCCATTAATGTTGGATATATTAAACTAAATGTTGAATATTTGCTTCCACCCAAAAGATCTGTTGCTTCAGCAAAAGGACCAAGAATCTGAACTAAGTCACTCATAAGCAACCATTCATCATCAGTCAAAAAAACACTTTTTAATCTTTTATAATCTGATTTGGAATTTGGATCATCAATTTCTAATGGTATTGTTGTAATTAGAGTTTTGATATATTCTTGCAACATTAATAATCTTTCCCATGCAAGAAAAGATGAATTCCATCGTGTGCAAACATCACAATGGCTTTTAAATACTTGTGATTGTTACCAATTATGTTCTAATTAAACCAATAAAATAAGAATTTTTTGTTGTAATCATATATGAACAATCAACATATAAATATAATAAAATTACCTCATTTGAAATTTTATAATTTTCTTTTTGTATTTTTTCTAATCTTTCAGATTGTTTAGATGATATAAAAAAATTTATCAGCTTTTTAACTCTTCCAATGAATATTTTCATTTGATTAACATTCAATCCTTTTCCTATTACCAGTTGTATTGTATGAGCTGAACAACGAATATGATTAATGCCATTCAAATAATCAATTGCTTTCACCATATTTTTGGCATTATCTGTTGTTATGGCAACAACTTTATTTACAAGATTCCATTTACGAAGTTGAAATTCAATTGCTGAGGAAATTGTAAGATATGTATGTGGATGTTCAAGATTTGATATGGTAATTAAATGTTCATTTAGTTTAAAATTTCATCAACCCAAAAACAAGTTATTGCAATATATGACTGTTGACTACGAGATGTCCACAAATCTGTTGTTAATGATACATAATTTACTGCAGCTAATTTATCTTGAAATTTGATGGTTATATTTGAGTAAGCATTATGGATAAGTGGCTTTATAGCTTTTACTGATGGAATTTGGAATAATGGATCAAGGTTATTAATAAAATTTCTAAAAGTAGCACTCTGAAGAATATAAAAAGGTTGGTTATCTCCAATAATAAATTCAGCTAACAATTTAACAAGTTTATCTTGTTTGATTCCAGAGTGTTTTTTAACTTGACTAAACAAATTAGGCAATGTTAATTGAGATTTTTGCTAAATATAAATATTGATATTAATATGGATCAATGTGGTTTTTTATCTTAATAATGTTAATTATAAGAAATATACCTTGGTTGAAAAATTGTTTTTTTCTTTATAGTTTTCTTTGGTAATTCCATGAACATTAGATAAATGATTAATCGAATTCCCAGTTGATCCATTTATTATTTTCACATGATGCTTACAAACTTCACCCAAATCATTAGGAATTTGGCACATGGCCCAAATAGTATTCTCATCTTGAACACAATCAAAAAATAGCCACGTCCAACTCCTAGCAGAATTATTCTTGTTTTCAAAAATCCTTCAACATCATTATTATTACCTGTAGAACTTAAAAATATAAGTTAATTATCAATGTATTGGCTGTTAATGCTGCTGTTAACAGTTATAATTATATTAATTAGTTACCTAATTTCACTAATACTATCATTAGTGTTAGATGTTGAATTATTAGATTCTAAAACTATATCTTTAATATTTTCTTGTTCGAAATTATCATCAGAATCAAACAAGTCTATAATATTATTTTTTAACATTATTGTAATTATTTATTTACAAAAATTATTTATACAAAAAAAAAACTCATAGTACAAACAAATAAAATTCAGATATCTGAATCTTATCTGATTTATCTGAAATCAGATCCGAAATTTGATCTGAAATAAATTTTGTTTATCTGAAATCTGACAAATATCTCCAGATATCTCCAGATATCTGAAAAATCAGTTATACAGATACAAGCTCTAATACTTTATTAAGCTTATAGAAAAATGCTTCCATTTATCTATAAGATCGTTTTAGAAAAAGTTACTATGTTCCCGACAGGGTCCTCACATAGAGAGATACGACTGTAGTTTCCTTTTTTTCAATAGCAAATTCAGAAATACTTTCCAAAAAAATAATACGCGCGGTATCATAGTAATAAAATTGATAAAAACATTATACTATATAGTTCAAAAAGATAATTTTGCTAATATTGACAAACATCAACATCGACAACAAATATCAAAAGTAGCTTATGAGCATCAACACCATCATCAACAACAACTAGTACTCTTTCATTTTCAAAGGATAACTATTATCTAAATTCCGTAGATCAGTACCAAAATTTTCTCAATTATAATATTAATATTAATATCAATATCAAGGTTCCGTTGCCTAATAAGTATTGTGCTATAATAGAGATTATGAAATGCAAATATACATAAAATTTTTAAGACGTCGTATATAATACAAATGCAATTATTGTATCGCATTTTCTTGACAGATTGCTAATAGTTGATGATGAAGACAATGGATAATGACGAAATATATTGAATCAAGAAAATCATCTGAATTTTCTAAATTTTATAGAAGTTGGTTCAACTATTCAACGATTGATAATGGAAATCAAAATTAAACCCCCCAAAAATAGGATTTGTTTGTTACACACAATTCAATTATATAGATCAGCCAAATAAATATAATAACTGAAATAAACCGGTCATAAGTGAATTAAAAAAGCCTTTGAGCTTTGTAAAAGAGCCACATCTATTTACTTACAGTTATCTGGTACCTTAAAGAAGCTTTCTAGCTACGAAAAGTTATTCATGAACTTATTAATTGACTAGCATCAAATTATTGAAAATAGTTAAGCCGTAATTGACATCACCCAAAAAAGCTACGTTGCAATATCACCATTTAACAAGAATTAGAAAACTGTAAAAAGTTTATTACTTCAAAATATTATTATAATTTAACTTAAGAAATGGAACAAAAATAAAATACAAAGATAAGTAATTATAACATATAAATATATAGTGGAGATTAAATTAGTCATTCATCGATTATTATTAGAATCTAAAATAAATAAAAAATATTGTTAGTAATAATTAATGGATAGTAAGTTCCAATTAATTAATTAATAATAAAAATTTTATTCACCTTCAGCATTTAAGAGAAGAGAGTTAAAATCAAGATCATTTAATGAACTATCATTGCTTGTATAACTTTTAAAGCTTCTAGATTTAGCAATCTCTTCATCTAATATTCTACTTTTATGGTATGCGCCTGGATGTGATTTGTGTACTTGTTGCAAATCACTACTACCACTAGCATAATGGACACTCATTTTGTGCAACAGTCATTTGTATAATAGTCAGGCGGTTACACAGAGTCCGTTGCTTCTGAAACTTCACTAGAATATAGCTGTAGCCTCTCTAAGTCCAGATCATTAGCAAGATCAAAATTATCTCACACTTTTATATAATCAAACTTATGCAAGAACTTTCACCATAACATATGTTATGTTGATCATTTTTTTGTGATCTGCAACAGTGTCCACTATGCTACTACCACTAGTAGTATTATTGCTACTATTATTACCATCAATATAATTGATGATTTCTTTCAATTTATTATTAGCAAAAATAAAAAGCTCATTAATAGTTGGCCTTTTTGATGGGTCCACATCCCAACACATCTGCATAATTCGTGCATAGTCATCAGGCATTCCAAGTAATATTGGTGGTCATAAACTTTCTTCATATATGTCAAAAATTAAACAATGATTGTGAGCTCTATCATCAAATGGTGGATGACCTGCAAATATTTCCCACATTGACATCCCAATGCTATATACAGTATATCTGATTCTTTTGTGTTCTTTTCACCTCTAAGTAACTCAGGCGCAACATATGATACAATTCCATAGACTTTATTTGATGATTTTTCATCAACTGGTCCACATAATCCAAAATCTGCAATATAACAAATACCTCCTTGCAATAATATACTACCACTATGTAAATCACAATGGATTAAATCTTTTTGATGTATATTATATAATGCATTACATAAATACCTAAAGATTACAATTCTGTCTTTTAATGTTAAATTTAAATGACTTTTTTTCAAATGACCTCTTAAATTTCCATCTGATAAATAAGCAAAACTATTGCATAATTTATCTGGGAATTTAGTTATGCCATAGCAAGGAACAATTGTTGTTGCTTTGATTTTACAATAATTCATTGCCTGGAATTGAATATAAAATCAATTAGTATTATATAACATAATATTGTTTTAAAATGACAACTACCAACCTCATCAAAAAAGCCTTTTCCTGGATTACTTGAATTATTTAAACTCTTTAATACTACATTTTGCCCTCCAAATAACTAAATTCCTTTTTATTTTCATCATAATCAATTATTTCTCCTCTTTTCCATATCGCAGTATAAATTGAACTAAATCCACCTTCAGCTAACTTTGTTACTTTTTCAAATTGCTCAAAAGGTATCCATTCTAAAATACGAGATGGTAGAGATGATTTCATTTGGCATTTTTGAATAAAATCATCAATTACATTATTTCCATATGTCCAGGTAATGAAAAGATTCTGTAATTGTAAACTGATGCAACCTTCACAGAATTTATCAGAGTATCTTATCAATTTACACTTGTTACATTCTTTTTGTTTTCCCTCTTTATATCTTGCATTTCTTAATTCAACCTCATAAACAAACATTTCTTTACAAAATTCTTTTTCATTTTCAGAAAGCTCCTTGTTTTTTTTGATTAATGAAAAAAAATAATCTTTTCTACCTTCTTTATCAGAGTTAGCTGTTGCATTATTATACATTTCATTGTTAATTTTATATACAAATTCCTTCCTTTCTGGTGATAATAATTTAACATATGACATTATATGAAAAATAAATATATAAAATTTTAAATTTTTGACTTGATCAATCTATTGAATATAGTGGAGAAAACGATTTTTTTTGTTCCGAGAATAACATTAGTCAGTCCGTTTATTTATTCATCCATTTATTTATTATTATTATTAATTCAATTCTTTATATTATTCCTTTTGCAGAGCGATGATTTTATGCCAAGCAAAATTGCCGAATAATGCATCCAAAATTGCTTAATAATGTATTAGTGAGTGTGTAGGTAGTCCTTATGATGGAATATTTCCTTTTTTGGATTTAAATTTAACCCAAATTATAGTGCTGCGGTCACCTTCAAGTACTTTTAAATCATAGTGCTAACGATAGAGTTTTCCCAATCTTTAACCAATTATATATAAGATTAAAAGAACATCCAATTTTTTTGTGATCATTTTATGA